ACTGCATAGTGTTTCCAATGATAAACACTTTAAAGGCATGTAAGAATACAGTGAGAATTTTACAGTGAGAAAATCCCAAAATAGTCTAATGTTTCAGTCATTTTGGAAGGTGCTGACAGTTTTTCTCCTTTCAAAACAAACGAAGGAGGGACTTAACTACGGTTAACCATAGGTGAGTTTGGGGTTGCCATGTCTCCTTCAAGCTAACGCCGCAGCGCCAACAGTTGTAGTTTGACGAGGGCCGGCAAAAAGCTCCAGAGTTATCTAAAGTGGTTGCAGAAACCAAAATTTACCACAAGATGTCATTTTTGCCTCATTTCTTTTTTATTTCTGCATAATGCACCTTTGAAGCTTTACACCTCATCTGTTTTTATGCAACCAGTGACTTAAGATTCTCCAGCCTCTCTATCGACTAGGCTGATGTGACTCAATCACTTTATAATATTTTACTATACAATGTATACGTATAACACAAAGTTCATATTATAAGAGATTTATATGAAAAAACCTGAAGGTGTTTTAAGAGACAATAATGAAAAGCAATAAAAATAACAATCAACTACCTGTCATCTGAAATCCTCTGATGAACATTTCTTCAAAGCCTTTACTCAGACAGATCGTTTTAAACCTGCTGACCTTGAACGTGACACACACAGACTCACATTCAGTTGCTCAGGTGATTGCACACACACACACACACACACACACACACACACACACACACACACACACACACACACACACACACACACACACACACACACACACACACATGCTCGGGTCAGTCGGTTTTGTTCTTCTACCAGCCCAGAGGAGCCTCCCTATAAATGCAGGAAAACCAGATTTTGACCATCCTCACCTCTTTACTTCACTCACACACCCACTCTGGGTGAGAGGTGTCATCCTGACAGTGAGTTAGTATGTTTAGGTTGTGGAGCTTCCTGTGACAGGTGAGACACCTGAGGGCAGGTGAACTCCATCACCTGAACCAGAATGTACACATTCAACAGCTTTAATTCCAATAGGTTTTCATGGATACTTTCTCTTTCTCTGTCCATAAAACCTGTAAAAATCCCTTATTCTCAGACACCGCTTGATCAAATCTTGATGTATATTTTATTCCATAAGTTTTTTAGCCCTTCTTCATTTCCCCGAGCACCTGAAGCTTTGCTTATTGTTCCAAACATATTTGGATCTTTTACGCTGTGATTTGTGAAACATTTATTAAATGTGAAAATTTGCAACAGAAAAAATAAAAACCTTTAGAAAACTCACACATGATTGGGTTTTTAAGTTCCTGGACAATCATTCAGTTGAGTAAATTATGTTAGTTTGCTTTTTTTAATTGTTTTTTCTAAGCAGATCACAATAAAACCACCACTAGTGACAAATAAGAAACAAAGGGTTTCTAAATATGCTGTCATAGGAATAAACATCTATTTTCAAAATATTTTGGAGCTTGTTGTACTTCTAAGATTTATTAATCCAGTTTACATGAAGAACATTAAGCTGCTGCAAAATGAAATAAAATTAGAATAATCTATGGCCTTGAGGTGAAAAACAGAGAAAATACTTTAGAGTGAATAATTAGACAACAGCAACATGTCTTAGAACACAAACCAACAAAAACACACGATTGGGGGTACAGCATAATCATATGAACAAATACAAATGGTCCTCAAGTTTTTTATTTTCTTTTGCATCTAATCCTTTATCATGTGATAGATGATCAAATGTTTCAAGTCAAGAGTTATGGAAAAAGATGTAACGATGATTACAAATGATAGAGAATTTTTTAAAACCCAAGACAATGAAAACATGAAAAGTCATAAATTCAAATGTTATTGTTGTCAGTGGGAGAAAGTGGGCCACAGTCAGATCCATGGGGGAGATTAAAAAGAATACAAAACAAGATCTATTGAAAAAAAACTGGTTTGTTCCTGTTAGAAGTGTGTGTGACTGATGTGTTCTGAGTTACTGAGGAATAATGAAATTTCCTCTCTTGATAGCTGGAGCTGCTGTGATGTGTGTGAGTGATGCAGCAGAAAGCGGGTCGGGACAAAGCCGGTTTACCAGCAGAGGGGCTGAGATGGGTCTGGGCGCCGTCTCTGGTGGCAGGGTCGTGGGATCAGAGCAGGTCACGGAGGTGTGGGAGTGTCTGCTCGGCCCTCTGACCTTTGTTACCGAGGCTTCCTCTAATCCACTCCTCAGAGAGCATACGGACATAATGGAGAGCGCATGAATAGAGTTAAACGGTGACCATTAGACTGGCCTGTGTCACTATTCTTCTTGTTTGTTTAGTGCCGATCTGCCTCACGTTTTGGTGTAATCAGGCATGTGATGGAGAGATGCATGAAGAGGAGATAACAGAGCTTCAGATCAGATCATTTGATTCAAACATTCAGGAATCTGAAGCACACCTTTCGTACCATTTTTATTTCCATTTTTAAAAAACAGAAAACAAAAAGAAACCAATTTTTATGCAGTCAAATTTTGGCAATGTTTCAGAAAAACAGACATGTTTATTAATGGTGACTGTCCTATAACTGGCTCATGCTGATTTATTGAAATAAAAAAGATGATGTTTTATTCCATATTAAGCTGTACGCAAAGCGTTATTAATCTTTTATTGTTCTAAGTTATTAGAAAATAAGTTATCAGAAAATAAATATAATATAATATAATATAATATAATATAATATAATATAATATAATATAATATAATATAATATAATATAGTGTAATATGATGCTTTGCTGACAATGGTTTCCTTTTTCTGTTTCAATAAAATAAGACTGAGCACAAAAATTTGTGAAATTACAACAAAACATTTATTTTCTCATGAAGATTGTTGATTTTTTTTACAATATTTTCCACTAAACTCCAGATGTGTCCACAGCTGTGCTCCAAATTCAGGTTCATAAAGGGATTCATATTGTTCCTTTTTAATTTATTCAAGACTTTTAAGAAAAGAAATTATGCTTCATTGTCTGAAGTAGTAACACAGTAACGGATCTAAGTACAAATGTATTATTTATGAACGGAGAATATTTTTTGATTAGGTGGAATATGCTGCCCCCTGGTGATAGATTTAAAGACTTGATTGAACCTCTGAGCCAGTGGTTCTCAAACTATTAATAATAAAATAAAATAAAATAAAATAAAATAAAATAAAATAAAATTAAAGGTACAAAGACTTCAAATACAGCTTGTTCTTTTTTTTACTAAAAAGCTAAATAAATAGGGTCAAAACATAATTATAAATGACTAGAATTGTGCTATTTATATATTTTTTTAGATTTTAAATTAATAGTAGGGAAAATGTACTGTTAGGAAATATTCACTGGGTTTACTGTGATCAGCTTGAGACTGTAAACATAGTGTTGTGTGACCTTTAGTGGCCCCCTGACCCTCACTTTGTTAACCTCTGCTCTCATTAAAACAGCAAATCTACTGCTGCATATAATGATTTATGTTGTAAGATGTAAGTAGATGTTTGTATCTTAATTTGACTGAAACGCACAGGGTTTTTAATGTGAATATTTTATAATTGCTAAAATGTTATTTTAGTTCTGGCCTAAAGTCCTTAACTACACAAAGAAACCCTAACACATTTTGCTGTAATATCACTTTTAATATTTGTCTTTTGAAAAGAAAAAAGTTTCAGAACATTTTAAACAGTCATAAAAACTTAAAATCTCTTCCCCTGCTACAGAAGCAGAATGACCTTTGATGACATATTTTGATCACCGTCCACACTTTAGTGCAGTTTTTCTTCAACTTCCTACATGATTGTTTGTGTTGTTGTTTTTGTTTATGGATATTTAGGAGAGACACGTCTCTAGACTGTATTCTTTGAGGGGTTCTTTTTACACAAATTTGAAGCAATATTTTTTATTTTGGTCTGGGAATAATAAGTTTCAACTTTAACTATGTCACTGCCCTGTTTGTTCTCCCTTGTTGGTCTCTAGTTTATTTCTGCAGGTTTTGGGATCTGCAGCTTCTGCACATTATGGTTTATTTACTCCTCAACATCTCAGTAAAGCTCCTCATATTCAGCTCCAGGTTTACCGTCTTTGCCAGAACCATTAAGTCATTCCTGCCTTCTCATGCATCTTCTTTTGTGTCTTCATGTTCATGTCACATCAAGTCCAGAGCTTCATCAGTGAACATTTCAGAGATACCAGAGCTCAGTTTTCTGGTATGCTTCAGTTGCATTTATGTTGGCCTTCCAACCCCCCTCAATAGTTCTATTTAAACTCTGTCCCAAAGGAAAACCAGGGCTAAACTGCCATACCACTACTTCCTTGTTCCACAGATGCTCTAATGACAAAGCACTTTTTTTTTCCATTTTATATTGCATTATTTTTACCATACTAGACCTTTATCTAATCATTAGATTTTTGCAGCACCAACATGGAAACAAAGTGAAATTTTCACAATAAAGATAGTTTTAAGCGTTTTCCAGCCTGATGAACAGCTTCTTATTCTTGAGAAATCATGTTTGTGGGTGTCCTCATACATTCCCGCAAACAAATTGGATTTGTCTACTCATAAAGTGGCATGAAATTAAGTGAAAATGGATGAAGAAGATATTTGACTCTATTTTTCTATTCTTTTCTGACTATTTCTGCATCAAATCCTACATTTCACACATGAGAAAACAAGCAGAAAGACGTTCTTGGAATCAGGATGTGCTGAATTATAGATGTACAATGCCACTCTCCTATGAATCTGCAGGAAAGTCAAATTCCCAGAAAAGGAGAACATTCGGTCCAAGAAGCAAAAAATACAAACGAGAGCTTTTAAAATGCTTTACTGGGGACTTTGAAAGCTGCAGATTTATCTCCTTCCTCTTAAGTGTCCTGCTTGTGAGTGTTTTGGTTCTTTCAGGTAAACTGATGCTGATGGAAGAGAAATTAGAGATCAAAGAGGTTGTTGGCACCGTGTCATTACAGCTCCTTGAGGCCCGCGGGGCTCAGCATTCCTTACCCGTCTGGACCGAGCCGGGGAGGTGCTCCAGTTGCCCCAGTTGGATCCAGTGGGTGTGAGCTTCTATTTAAACGCCGGTTGCATCTGACAGCAGTTTTGTCTCCCTCCATCTTCATCATCACCAGGCAGCATGGCTTCTGATCAGAAGGCTCCTCTGGGCTCCATCGACAATCCAAGGAAGTTCCTGGACCAGGACTTTGACGCTCTGCAGAAGGAGTGTCTGAAGCTTGGGAAGCTGTTTTCTGATCCAACATTTCCAGCCGAGCAGAAGTCCATTGGCATGCCGGAAGATCCTAATCCTGCTAAGGCAATCAAATGGAAGCGACCCAAGGTGTGACAAGCATGAATTAACTTATCTTATGAATTCATTATCATTTTTAAAACAATGAAACAAGTTTTGGACAGTGAGTTTAGACTTAACGTTTTATTTATTCTTGATTCAAATATTTTGGGAAGTTTGCTGATTCTTCGTTCTTTTTCCTGTTCTGAAGGAAATCAGCAAGGATGCTGTGTTTGTGGATGAAACAACTGGGACCACTGACATCTGCCAGGGCCAACTGGGTGAGTGAATTAAAAAAATATTTAAATCTATATCGCCTGCTGCCTCAATACATCAGACCTCACAGCAGCATTAAATAAATACGTAAAACAGTTATTTGATGATCTGTTTGAATGCAGTGAAATAGCTTCAGACCTTGAGGCCTGTTTCCCTTTGAAGCTTTACTTCACAGCAGGAGAGAAAACTTTTAACTGGACCGGTATTTAAGCCTTCAAACTTCACAAACAAGCCGGGGGTCCAATTCCAGTTCTGCCTTATTGGTCCAAGACTCTGTTTAAGATTTTGTTGTTCAGACTGTTTTTTATTACTGATGAACTAAACAGTTCTTCCTCTTTGCCCAACAGCATAATCTCATCACTCCTGGGATTCATGATGATGTGTTTTGTTACTATTTGTGTGTAAATATGTCAGCGCTGCAGATCAATACCTCTTGCATTGTCCACGTCGTCACTGTGGTTTCTTTAAAATGTGCAGGATGTGTTTGTCTCCAGAGCAAAACACTAAACAGATGTTCGCAGTTGGAGAGGAATGTAGCTTATTATGTGTGTGTGTGTGTGTGTGTGTGTGAAACTCAAAGTATAAAACACTCGATCCTTTAAGATTAATCCCCAAAGGTCTAGTGAAAACCATTAGAGTTCTGGATTACTCCATCATTTATTCTCCACGTCTTTCTTTGTGTGTTTCTTTGACCTATCAGGTGACTGTTGGCTGCTGGCAGCTCTGTCCTCGCTCACCGTCCACTCACAACTCTTTGCTAAGGTGGTACCACCCAACCAGAGCCTGACTGAGCCCTACGCTGGGATCTTTCACTTCACGGTGACAAAACCCTCTAATTAGTCCATTGTTGTGTGTCCAGAACACACACTTCATCTATTTTTCTTTGCTTTTGAGCTCAGTTTCATCTCGTAGTTCATCATTAATGACGAATGTTATTGATTACGAGTAACTAAAGCAAATATTTAATGCAGCTTAATGCCTTCGTCAAAGATTTAAAAGAAAAGAACATCTGCCTTGCTGTGCAGCCCTACTTCATGTAAACAAGTCTGAGGAAGTTTAACACACACACACACACACACACACACACACACACACACACACACACACACACACACACACACACACACACACACACACACACACACACACACACACTTTGTTATCAAATGAAGAAACTAAAACATCTTGTTTTAAAGAAAATGCCAATAAATGTTGTCAGTTTTATTAATCCCACTAAAGAAGCCTAAACTATACAACATAGAGCCCTGAATACTCTAAAGGAGGCAACAAAATTACAAGATACAATAGAAAAAAAGATTTGCTCGTGGACAACAGAAAAGTCTTCTCATGTCTGAGACAAAGGACTATGAAAGAGAAGTATGGTTCATCAGGGTGTAAATGACTAAAATTACAATTATTTAAAGAGAAACATTTTATACATTATGACATAAATTAGAAAATATAAGTTATAAAATTTTATAAAAGATTTAGAAAGTGACAAATATTCTTTTTATGTAAAGAACTAAATGAAAAAAAGGATCGAATAACTTTTAATTAAACTTAAAATGTATTTTCTTCAAGCACAAAACATACATTTCCAGTGCTTTTGTTGGTTAGGCTAGATTTAAATTATACATCTCATCTCAGGAAAAGAGCAATATAATATTTGATGTTTGCAATGATTAGCCATGACCCAAGAGTGGATCCCTGTGGAACACCTGTGGAGGAAATGACACCCTCTGTTTTCACAAAAACAGACAAACAGTCAGCAAACTAAAAATATTTGACTCTATGAAACAAAAAGGATGATATGATGAATAAATAAAGTGTTAAACAGCTAAATGTTTTGGTTAGCCTTGTCAATTTCAAGCTTGTTGAAGAAAAAGCTAAACTGTGGAAAATCTGCCCTGCAAACAGTCAAATTCACATGGACCTTCAGATCATGTCTATATTGAATCTGTCAGTCCAGACCATGTCTGTAGGATGTCCAAACTAGGTCTTTGCACAGTGGGTGGCTCATAAAGTGCTTTTAGAATGTTTTAAAAAACACATCACATTAAATGTGTTTTAATATTAAAAAATAAATAGAGACCTGGGGATGGACTGTCCAGTCTCGGGGGCAGAAGTTGCTGAGGTAGTCAAACAACTACACAGCAGCGGAGCCCTGGGGGCGGATGAGGTTCGTCCTGGGTATCTCAAGGCTATGGATGTTGTAGGGCTGTCATGGTTGACACATCTCTGCAACATTGCATGGTCATCGGGGGCAGTTTCTGTGGAGTGGCAGACCGGGGTGGTGGTCCCCATCTTTAAGAAGGGTGACCTGAGGGTGTGTTCCAACTATAGGGGATCACCCTCCTCAGCCTCCCTGGAAAGGTCTACTCCAAGGTACTGGAGAGGAGGGTCCGATCGATAGTTGAATCTCAGATTGAGGAGGAGCAATGTGGTTTTCGTCCTGGCCGTGGAACTGTGGACCAGCTCTATACCCTTGCAAGGGTGCTGGAGGGGGCATGGGAGTTTGCCCAAGCAATCCACATGTGTTTTGTGGATTTGGAGAAGGCTTATGACCGTGTCCCCAGGGGCACCCTGTGGGGGACGCTCCAGGAGTATGGGGTGGGTGGCTTTCTGTTAAGGGCCATTCAGTCCCTTTACCAGAGGAGCGTGAGTTTGGTCCGCATAGCCGGTAGTAAGTCGGACCTGTTCCCGGTGAAGGTTGGACTCCGCCAGGGCTGCCCTTTGTCACCGGTTCTGTTCATTACCTTTATGGACAGAATTTCTAGGCGCAGCCGTGGTGTGGAGTGTGTCAAGTTTGGTGGCAGGAGAATCTCGTCTCTGCTTTTTGCTGATGATGTGGTCCTCCTAGCTTCATCCAGCTCTGACCTTCAGCTCTTGCTGGGTAGGTCCGCGGCCGAGTGTGAAGCGGCTGGGATGAGGATCAGCACCTCCAAATCTGAGACCATGGTTCTCGACCGGGAAAGGGTGGCTTGCCAACTCCGGGTCGGGGGAGAGGTCCTACCTCAAGTGGAGGAGTTCAAGTATCTCGGGGTCTTGTTCACGAGTGAGGGTAGGAGGGATCGGGAGATTGACAGACGGATTGGTTCGGCGTCTGCAGTGATGCGGACGCTGAGCCGATCTGTCGTGGTGAACAGGGAGCAGAGCCAGAAAGCCAGGCTCTCGATTTATCGGTCGATCTACGTCCCATTCCTCACCTATGGTCATGAGCTTTGGGTAATGACTGAAAGAACGAGATCGCGGATACAAGCGGCCAAAATGAGTTTCCTCCGTAGGGTGGCCGAGATCAGCCTTAGAGATAGGGTGAGGAGCTCGTACATTCGGGAGGGACTCAGAGTAGAACCGCTGCTCCTCCGAATCGAAAGGAGCCAGTTGAGGTGGTTTGGGCATCTGGTCAGGATGCCTCCTGGACGCCTCCCCAGGGAGGTGTTTCGGGCATGTCCTGCCGGCAGGAGGCCCCCGGGTCGACCCAGGACACGTTGGAGAGGTTACATCTCCAATCTGGTCCGGGAACGCCTTGGGGTCCTGCCGGAGGAGCTGGTGGAGAAGGCCGGGGAGAGGACAGTCTGGAGCTCCCTAGTTGGGATGCTGCCCCCGCGACCCGGACCCGGATAAGCGGAGGAAGATGGCAACGATGAAAAATAAATGCATCAAACATGGAGAGTAGTCTTATCAGGATACTGCTGACTGGAGACATTTGTCTTCCGTCTCCTTTTTTGCACTAATGCTGTCTCAGGTTGGACAAGGGACAAAAACTTAGATCCAGATCTGCAGATCTGATGATGAAAGTTGTTGCTCACAAAACTTGAGATCTTTTTTCAGATCTGATGTGTGCAGAACAAAGTTTGTCCCCGGGCCTCCGTGCTGCAGGTTAATTTAATATTTGAGAGAATATTAATTATCTCTGTCATGAACTATTTATAACCGAACAACCTGAGGTCCCAGCTGTGCTGATGTAAGATACACATAAATAATTAGCTTTGATTGATGCTCCTGATGGTACACTTGTTTATTTCAGGTAACAGAAGGCAGGTTCTTCAATATTTTATCTGATTTGGCTCCATTCGTTCAGACTCAAACAGACGTCTGCTGTCATACTTTGAAAACAAACAGCAGCTTCTAACAGGTATCAACTCATCTTGAAACAATGATTCTGGTCTCACACAAAAACAAAAACCCTTTATCGCTTTATTAAAGATTTTGATTCAAATCTACGTCTCACTGCTCGGACCTGTTCAAATCCATAAATGTTGTCTCATTAGACATTGCAGACAAAAGTAAACAGACAACTGCGTGAATTATTTGGTGAGAATGCAGCGTGACTGAACATGAGAAATGGAGAAGGACTGGTAACTTGTTTGACTCTGTCAGGGTGGTGGAAGAGCAGTCTGGACATGCAGAGACACTTTATCATGTGGACACATTCACACACTGCACACACACAAGCCTTCGTCAAATCCTTTTGCTGGAATCTTTAAGGTCCTCTTCCTATGAGACGAAATCTATAAGGACATGTTTTTGTCTCCATGAGGAGGAAAGTTCTTTGTGCCTTAATGATAAAAGCAGATTTATGTCCCGGCAACAAGAATAATACCTGCACCACACAAAGAGCAGCAGCTGAAGATCAGTCCAGACCTGCTAAAGTGAGCACAGCTTTCATCATAACACGGCCCCACATGAAAACAGGAGGCCTGCATTCTTTAAAGGCATGTCCCCATCACCGTCCACGTCAGATCTTTAAACTTAGATTGGGAAATCATGGAGTTATAGTTGCTTTTGGTCAAATTTTGATAGTACTGTGGACAATGTTGCAACTCTACATTAAAAATGTTATGTGCTTAATGTCATATTTGATTTATGGCTTTGACCTTTGACCTCTGTGCCCCATGCCATCTGTGACCCCTTTGAGAAATAATTTATTGATTTTAATGGACACCATTTAGAGACCACCATGGGAAATTGTTTAATGACTCCTGACTTCTAAGAATGAAGTATTTTCTTCTGGAGATTATCAGATATGATCAGTAACCCATAATTCACCATGATGCCAGCAGTTATTTTGATCCCTTTAATGCTAGACCAGAGCCCCTCCGCCTCATTTTATCATCCCCATTCTTCCTTCCTCTTTGCCTCCCCTCCCTCCTCTCTCTGTCAGTACACATAAGGTTTCCATACTGCAGGAAATCTGCTACATTTGATACTCAGCTCTGTCTTACACACCATACAGTCTACAGAAATGAAGGGTAAAGTGGAGAAGCCGCCTTCTACATTTGTACTCGTCCATACCACATTTGAACTTAGATCCACAGAGATGGACCTGACAGCTCATCAGATATTCCAAAAACATTACAGCAAAGCAATAGCAAAACGTTTAGAAGCTGGAAACAAGGAACCCAGGGTGGAAGATGGCTTTTCATTCACTGACGAACCAGCCTGCTTTCCTGAGCGGGAAACCACACGCACACACACATATTTCTGATACTCCAACACCACAGGGGTCCCCAGCAAGTCAGCAAATGGTCAGTTCTTCCCCTGGTCAGGAAACCAGCAAGTCAGAGTTTTTGATAAATGATCAATCTCCATCCAATCGTGCAGGAGCTTCTGATACCCCAGCACCACAGGAGTTCCAGCAAATGACAGTCCATGATTGGAGAGAGAGAGAGAGAGAGAGAGAGAGAGAGAGAGAGAGAGAGAGAGAGAGAGAGAGAGAGAGAGAGAGAGAGATCCCAGCTTCCCAGGTACACAGACTTAGGTTATTTTGTTTAAAACCAATTTAGTTGCTCTTCTAAGAAAATCATAAACAAAAACCTCATTCTCCTTAAAGTTTCATGCATCAGGAGAATCAACCAGATTATGCTAATTGTAAAACCAAAACAGTGCCATATAATCATGGTCAGACTTATTCCACTACATTCTGAGGGAACATACAGTATTCTGAAACACACTGAATGTAAAGGCTGCAGATTGGTAATTTAATCTATTTGTAAAACCAGACAGTAAAAGTTTCTTATGTCAGGAACAAGCAGATTGCTTTGAACTGCAGAATATCCCCCCCCCCCCCCCCATGACAGATTTATCTACAAAGTTGTTAAATATTATTTTACTTGATAATTTTTAAAGAAAACTGATTATTTTTTTACACCTGTGATCGCAGATCTATGGATTTTTAGGTCAAGAATGTGTTGTTTTCTCATAACCCTATCAGACTTTATTCTAAGGCAACAAACTGCAAACTTAAAAATGTTATTTTTTTATTCCAGGTGTAGCTCCACCCGCCACCCACTGCTACCTTGTTGTACAAGTCTCTAAACATGCTGCAGTTGTGCAACATCACTTATCTAACATAATGTCAATGAAAGAACCCAACAGGCCAGATTCGTCGACTTGGGAAAGGACAAGGGCTGCATTCCAATTTGGAAGCTGCGGATGGAGTGCAGCTCTTGTGTTATGTGCGTTAAATATGGACAATTGCAAATAAAAACCTAATTTTCTGATGTCAACACTCAGCTTGTGTGTATGTCTGCTCACCCATTGCAGCTTTAGAGGAACATCTAAGTTTCCTCTCTAGCTTCCTTCTCTTTAATACCTCCTGACTCATTACATCCAGTCCTCGTCTCATCTCATCTCAGGGTTATTCCTGTCCTTGTCTCGCTCTCCGTGCAGTTCTGGCAGTATGGTGAGTGGGTGGAAGTGGTGGTGGATGACAGGCTGCCAGTGCGCGATGGTCGTTTGCTCTTCAGCTACTCACGCGCCCGTAACGAGTTCTGGAGCGCCCTGGTGGAGAAGGCCTACGCCAAGTCAGTTGCCACTACCAGCATATGTTTCTGGGTTGTAAATGTCTGTGATCACCCACACTCGCTGTGTTTGTCGCTTCAGAATGATTACTGATGCCTTGTCTGTGTAGGTTGGTTGGATCGTATGGGAGCCTGAAGGGGGGCAACATTTCAGAGGGCATGGAGGATTTTACAGGAGGAATTGCGTACTCTCTTCCTGTTGCTTCTCGCACCCCTCCGGTCCTCTGGAGATCATTGAGTGCTGCTCTGACCCGAGGCAGCCTGCTCAGCTGCTTCATCCAGGTACACACAGATCACAGTGTGATGCTGTAACTATGCAAGCATTAAAATGATTAAGAATCATCTTTTTTTCTCGCACAGGCTCACACCTACAGTGATGTCGGTAAAGTGACACCAGACGGGCTGGTGATGGGTCACGCCTATGCAATCACCAATTCAGACAAGGCCAGTATTTATTTCTACAAGTTGTATCCAGTATGATTAAACACAATCCAAATTCAAAGTTACCTCATCTAATGCAGGCTGATAGTTCTTGATGCTTACTGACTCATTTTCTTTAGGTGATGAAAGGATCTGAGGAGGTTTTGTTGCTGAGGCTGAGGAACCCCTGGGGTTTTGTTGAATTTTGTGGTTCCTGGAGTGACAAGTGAGGAAACGTGATCATGGAGAAACACATCACAGGATCTGCACAAAATAGAACGCTTAATCTGTGTTTTTTTATGATTACAGATGTAAAGACTGGGATGAAACAGACCAGGCAGAGAAGGACAGAATTAAGCTGAAGCTGGAAGAGGATGGAGAGTTCTGGTATGGATGAGATGTGTAAACTATAAGTAGCTTCTCACAGATGTAGCTCTGATGTAAACGGTTGTTTTGATCAGGATCAGCATTGATGATTTCAGCAAAACCTTCAACATGGTGGAGCTCTGCAGCATGAGTCCTGACTCTCTAGAGGAGGACACAGCTGCTGGCCAGTCCACCTGGACCGTCAGCGAGCACAAAGGAACATGGGTATCTGGGAGCACAGCTGGTGGCTCCCGCAAAAACAACAGTACGTTAAAGACTTCAGATCCTCTCGTTTATTCATTTCATGGCTGAAACCTTCTGCTGTTCTCTCCCAGAATCCTTCTGGAAGAACCCCCAGTTCCACTTGGTGCTCCAAGAGCAAGACCAGGATGAGGAGGAAGAGGAGGAGGAGGAGGACAATGACCAGCAGGATGACGATGATAAACTTGATGATGGGGATCAGATGATGACTGCAGAGGAGAAGAAGAAAGCACAGAAGCAGAAGCAGAAAGCCAAGCACTGCACCGTGCTGGTGGAGCTGCTGCAGAAAAACAGACGGCAGAAGGATAAAACTAATTTCCTTTATGTAGCGTTTCATGTCTACAAGGTGGGAGCTTACCTCACTCACACATCCTGATGCATCTTGTTTCCAAATCATCTCATCTATCATTACCCTTCATCTTTTTCCCAGGTTTCTCCCGAGGTTAGTGCCAAACATTTGTTTGTGATTATTATTTTTATCACTGAGGTTTTTAATTAATTCCAGTTTTCTTCCTAGATGCAAGGTACTTGTCTGGACCGCAACTTCTTCATGACAAATCGCCCGGTGGGTCGTTCTGGAACGTACAAAGCTCAGAGGTGAAGGTTCAACTTCAGAGAAAATATCTACTTAATGTTTAAAGCTTCAAAGTTTTAAGACCGGGTCAAACCTTTACTGAACTTATTATTCCGAACCCCAAACAACATCAGTCATGCTGAATCAGTTACTGAGCTTAGAAAAACAAACGTCAGCAACAAAACTGTAAATATGTGTTAATGTGTGTGATGTCATTGTTTACACTGTAGAGAACGGCCATTTATGTAACAGTGAAAAACTGTAAAACCTCGACAGGAAAAACCCGTCAACTATAAAACTATTTAAAATGGTTGATTTTATGTGAAGTTCCTGTAAATCAATTAATTGGTGAAAACAATTATTTGTAATATTTTTCTTTGAAAAAGATACATAATTCTACTGTGAATACTGTAAATAGTAACTCTAAATAAATCTACTGTAAATAAACTTTAAGGATATTTTATTTTAAAAAAATATGCAAAACACTATGAGTTTTACATTTATTTATAGAAAAAAACTACAGCTTTTAATTGCTGGTAACAGTGTAAGGAGTTTACTTCCTGTTTCCCAGTGTGCTCAGTGGCATTTAGGTGAGGTCTGGCCGAACCGTTAGTGAGAGGGAAGTGTCTGTTCTCGACCTGACTCGTGAATGCACATGAAGGCTGGGCTGCTGCTCACTGCTGGTGTCGATACTGTTTCATCACTTCTGACTGCTACAGTTTGACATGCAGCTGAAGGCTGTGATCAGCAATTAAACAGGGAAAGCTAACAGCAGTTAAGTGGTAAACAGGAAAAGCTAACAGCAGTTAAGTGGTTATTTCATTCTATGAACTGAACAGTAATGAGGAAAACCTTTTGAATTTTGATTTTTGTGGCACATATTTTATGTCATAGATTATTTTCATGTTCATTTTATGGTAAAACAATTATATGGTTCAAGTAAAACATTATCTTCTACAATAAAAAACTGACTTCAGTACCATTTTTAACCGTAAAACAACAAAAAAAATAGCTTCTGACCATTAAAGATGAAAGTTTTACCTGTAATTTTATGGTACCATTCTGACAACCCCAACTGCTGGAGTTTTACTGTAAAATCTACATATTTTTTAAGTGTAGGTTTTAATTTTAGGAGGATAACTGTTTAATTTTGTCCCACAGAGGAGTGTGGAGGAAGCTGCGTCTGGACCCGGGGAACTACATCATCGTGGGATCCACTTATCGACCCAATGCACCTGGAGAATTCTTCATTCGAATTTTCTCCAAGACCTCAAACACGCTGGGGTGAGATTAAGGAAATTCTGACTCAAGGGTACAACACAAATATCAGGGAATGCTCCTTTGTTTTGTCTTCAATGGTTATGTTGCCATTTATTTTCCAAAATAGCAAAACATTTCTCTCTTTCTTTAGTTAACATATAAAATGTGTATATTATAAAATCTTACACTGACGATCTTTGTTTTTATTTTTTTAGAGTTCAGGACTTCAGCTGCTCTTCTGGCTACCGCCCAGTTAGTAGAGATTTTAAGTCATTCTGAAGAATATGTCTGCATAAAAGATACGAATAATGTATTAGCCGCTGCTGACAGCTTCATGAATGCCTTCGTTTTGGAAAAATGTTGTTTGCGTCCTACAGGACTGATAAGCTAACCGCTAGTTTGAGCCCAGCAAGATCAAAGAGTTTTACGGCCAATCTCCAAAACGTTTGTGCTATTTTACGAATGTTTACATGTTTTCTTTTCACAAGTAATTCTTTAGGTATTTGCAAGCATAGATTTGACCAGAAATAGCAGAATTTGACACATCTGATGCATCTGGGATTCAAGTTCTTCAAGCGTTGTAAAGGTTTATAATGTTTGCAGTAACCACCTTTGCATTTTTGAGACAGATGATGTTTTAAGACTAGTCCGCTCACCAGTTCTTAAGGACAAAAACACAATTTCTCTGAAAATAATTTGTTCAGAAAGCAATGGATAAGATATTTATTTATGGCTTTCACTTAGAACCACTCTTATAAATATTCTTTAAACTCTAGGTTATTATTTCTGACCAATAAGGTAAATTAATCTGTGTTACTGTGGGTGTCCCTCAGGTTATGGCCACTCCTATTTCTCCTGAAGATCAGACAAGCATTGAGAAAACTTTTGTTAATAAAGCTGGCCCGGTAAGAGTCAATGTGCTTAATGCTACCCAATAAAAATAGTTTTTTAAATTTGCTTTTGGGTGATTTCTGTCCCTTGTCTGTTGTTAGGATGACAGATTGGATGTCAATGGGATCATGAAGCTGCTGAACTCAGGTTAGAGCAACCCAAATTATACCAATTTTGACTGTAGCAGCTGAAGGCCACTAGATGGAGCCAAAACACGCAGAAGACGTGTGAACTGGAATGGAGGCGCAACAGAGGTCACCAGTCTAGACTGGCTTGTAGCTGCGGACAAAGAAAGGAAAATGAACTTGGTTTGGCCATGAAAGTGACAACCTTTGATCTCACCTTCCCTCATTCCATCTCATTAAAACTTGTATTTTCTATATCTGCATGAATCTCCTTTCTTTTAATCACAGTCATTGAGAAAGATTACCATCTGCCTCTGGAGACATGCAGACAGATCATCTTTGGAGAAGACGTATCCTTTTGTTCTCGGGGTATTGTCTTCAGTAAATCTCACAGTTCCGTCTCCTAGTTCAGCGACACAGAGCTCCCTCGGGTTTACTCCTCTCAGAAAACGGCTTCTTATCAAATCTTCACTCTTTAAGAGTAACACCTTAACTCTGCCGGCAGACGGAGGGGCGCTCCACCCTCAGCCGTGAGCAAGTAGAGAATCTGCTGACTGATCTGCGCACCCTTCAGGTACGTGTGTGTGTGTGTGTGTGTGTGTGCGTGTGCGTGTGTGTGTGTGTGTGCATGTAAGTAATGCGTGCATGAGCGTGTGTGTGTGTTAGAGACAGAACAGAGGAGAGAGAAGCCTTTCCCACAAGTTCTACCTCTCTTTTCAGTCCATTTTCAATCAGTTTGATGAAGACTCTTCTGGGACAATGAGCCCCTTTGAGCTCAGCTTAGCACTAGAGGCTGTTGGTATGCAAACACACACACAAGCACACACACCTGTAGATGGCTGTGTTCACATCTCTTTTTATCTCTCTCTTCCTCAGGATTGCAGTGTGACAACAAAGTAGTTCAGCTACTGTCTGAGCGCTTTGTCGCAGGAGAACAAGATCTGCCTTTCCATGGCTTTGTCTCATGTGTAACCAGGCTGCGCAAGCTTTTTGGTAACACACACACACACACACACACACACACACACACACACACACACACACACACACACACACACACACACACACACACACACACAAAGCAAAATAAAACAAAGCCGTAAAATCATAATGAAATAGATGAACATCAGAAAAAATTAAGTCATAAAATTATAAAATATCATAAAACAAATGAAAGATTACAAACTTGTCATGAACCGAGTTCAGAAGACCCGTGAAGACGCCAACACAGTAAAAATATATTAAAAAGTCTTTATTTAATGCAGAGGTACCTGGAGGGCAAGGCTGAGGCAGGTTCAGAGGCAGGCTAAGGTCAAAGTGGCAGGCAGAGAGCAAGGCAGGGGTCAGGCAAAAAACAAGGTCCAGAGGCAAAGATCAGGCTGGGTGGATGGCTGGAGAACTACTGGCAAGGCTGTAATAATCTGGCATCTGTTGACTGGATGGCTGGTTCTTTTATAGCAGGGGAAGCAGGTGAATGGGATGAGGCTGATTACAGGAGCAGGTGGAATGAATGGAGCTGATTGAAGCTGACAGGTTGCTGGGGAAAGCAGGGCTTGGCTGGAGCTTGGTGAGAGAAACCAGGTGAGCTGAATGAAGGTATAATGAGGAAGTGGAGGAGGGTGAAGGATGGGAGTCATGACAGAACCCCCCCCCCCCCCCCCCTCAAGGGCGGATACCAGACGCCCACAGGAAATCAGAGCAGGGTGGGAGGAGGGGGACCAGGAAGGAGGGCCAGAGCAGGGCGGGAGGAGGGGGACCAGGAAGGAGGGCCGGAAGGGTCTGGGGGGCCGGCGACGGGGAACCAGGAGCCGAGACAGTGGGAGTCTGGGGGGTCGGCGACGGGGAACCAGGAGCCGGGACCGTGGGAGTCTGGGGGGCCAGCGACGGGGAACCAGGAGCCAGGACCGTGGGAGTCTGGGGGGCCGGCGACGGGGAACCAGGAGCCGGGACCGTGGGAGTCTGGGGGGCCGGCGACGGGGAACCAGGAGCCGGGACCGTGGGAGTCTGGGGGGCCGGCGACGGGGAACCAGGAGCCGGGACCGTGGGAGTCTGGGGGACCGGCGACGGGGAACCAGGAGCCGGGACCGTGGGAGTGTGGTGACAGAGGACACTGGACCAAGACTAAGACTAAGACTACGAGGGGACACAGACTCTGGGACTTGAGGGGACACCGACTCTGGGACTTGAGGGGACACAGACTCTGGAACTTGAGACTGGGGAACTTGAGACTGGGGAACTTGAGAACAGGAGGGGTCCTCTTCAGAGCAGGGGCAGGAGAGGTCCTCTTCAGAGCAGGGGCAGGAGAGGCCCTCTTCAGAGCAGGGGCAGGAGAGGCCCTCTTCAGAGCAGGGGCAGGAGAGGCCCTCTTCAGAGCAGGGGCAGGAGAGGCCCTCTTCAGAGCAGGGGCAGGAGAGGCCCTCTTCAGAGCAGGGGCAGGAGAGGTCCTCTTCAGAGCAGGGGCAGGAGAGGTCCTCTTCAGAGCAGGGGCAGGAGAGGTCCTCTTCAGAGCAAGGGCAGGAGAGGTCCTCTTCAGAGCAAGGGCAGGAGAGGTCCTCTTCAGAGCAGGGGCAGGAGAGGTCCTCTTCAGAGCAGGGGCAGGAGAGGTCCTCTTCAGAGCAGGGGCAGGAGAGGTCCTCTTCAGAGCCTGGAGGTGTCAACCCTTGGACTGGAGGCTCGTGGAAAGGTTTCACCGGAGTCCCTTGGACAGGCTGGGCCGGAGCCCCTTGGACCTCACCCGTCGAAGCAAGATGCGATGCGTCCTTCGAGACCACCGCCAGGGCAGGATGCGATGCGTCCTCCGAGAACACCGCCAGAGCAGGGTGCGATGCGTCCTCCGAGACCACCGCCAGAGCAGGGTGCGATGCGTCCTCCGAGACCACCGCCAGGGCAGGATGCGATGCGTCCTCCGAGAACACCGCCAGAGCAGGATGCGATGCGTCCTCCGAGAACACCGCCAGAGCAGGATGCGATGCGTCCTCCGAGACCACCGCCAGAGCAGGGTGCGATGCGTCCTCCGAGACCACCGCCAGAGCAGGGTGCGATGCGTCCTCCGAGACCACCGCCAGAGCAGGGTGCGATGCGTCCCCCCGGACCACCGCCAGAGCAGGGTGTAATGCGTCCTCCCGCACCACCGCCAGAGCAGGGTGCGATGCGTCCACCGGGACCACCGCCGGAGCAGGATGCGATGCGTCCACCGGGACCACCGCCGGAGCAGGATGCGACACGTTGGAGGGTTCTGGGGAAGGTGACCACCTCTCACAGCAGGTCAGACCCTCCATGGCAACATCCTTCAGTGCAGACCCATATACCCTCCGGACATAAAGGTAGTAATTACCAAGTGCTGGGACCGCTATCAACTCTGGATGGGTGGAGAAGATGACATTTAACCTATCAGCCACCCGCAGACGTAAGTGGGGGCAGGTTGGCTTGGCAAAGACCTCCCACACAGCCTCCTCGACCATCTGCATAATCCCCTGAACAATTTCCTCTGTTGGTACCGGTCCAGAAGCAGAACATGAGGTGCTGTCCAAGGAACCCGCCGACACCAGCACGGGAGAAGGATCAACCCTCTTATCAGCTCCAGAAAAACTCCGGGACCGCCGCCGTCGTGACCTGACAGGAGGGGTTTGAGGCTGAAGCGGTGTGGTCATGAACCTGCTGCACAAGACGTTTGCGGCAGGCCTGGACAGAGGAGTGGAGCCTCTGCGTGGCTCTGGCCTGATGGCCAGCCGCGTTCCCCAGAACGGTGACTCCTGCTCCTTCTCTAGCTCCATAAACTCCAGGAGCGTGAGATCCTCCATGACAGGTACGATGAAAAAAGAAAAGAAAAAAAATACTCCAAGTGCTGTGTCAGCGTTGGGTCAGATTTTTGGCCAGATTATTCTGTCATGAACCGAGTTCAGAAGACCCGTGAAGACGCCAACACAGTAAAAATATATTAAAAAGTCTTTATTTAATGCAGAGGTACCTGGAGGGCAAGGCTGAGGCAGGTTCAGAGGCAGGCTAAGGTCAAAGTGGCAGGCAGAGAGCAAGGCAGGGGTCAGGCAAAAAACAAGGTCCAGAGGCAAAGATCAGGCAGGGTGGATGGCTGGAGTACTGGCAAGGCTGTAATAATCTGGCATCTGTTGACTGGATGGCTGGTTCTTTTATAGCAGGGGAAGCAGGTGAATGGGATGAGGCTGATTACAGGAGCAGGTGGAATGAATGGAGCTGATTGAAGCTGACAGGTTGCTGGGGAAAGCAGGGCTTGGCTGGAGCTTGGTGAGAGGAACCAGGTGAGCTGAATGAAGGTATAATGAGGAAGTGGAGGAGGGTGAAGGATGGGAGTCATGACAAAACTTGAGTTAAAAATAAAAGATTTATCTAAAAGCAGCTTTAAATAAAAGGGTCTTAGGCTGATTTTTAAAAGTGTCCAGACTGTCAATGCTACGTAAGGATAAAGGAAGATCATTCCAAAGTCAGGGTGCAACAGTCTGGAAGGAGCAATCACCTCAACTTTCATATCTGGTCTTTGGAACTTCTAGAACATCTAGTGTGGACCTGAAGGCTCAGGTTGGAGCATAAGGGCTTTAACAGTTCAGTAATATAGGGAGGAGCTTGACCATGTACATCAGAGATGGGGTGATGTGTCCTCTTCTGTTTGCTCCAGTTAGAAGCCTTTGCTCTTTTTTGTTAAAACATGTGAAGAGTGTGTTACAGTAATCTAGACGGGAGGAGATAAAGGCATGGATAACCATTTCAAGTTCATGTTTTGACACCAACCTTCGCAGTTTGGAGATATTTCTTAAATGATAAAAACAGTTTCGGACCAATGTTTTTGAGTGGCCATCAAGAGACATCGATTGGTCAAAAACAATACCCAAATTCTTTGTTTGTCTTGGTGGCAGAAGATAAATAAACAAGTTTTTGACTAATCAGCGAAACCATGCTCTCAGGGGCAATGATCAGACATTCAGTCTTTTCAGAGTTTAACTGAAGGAAGTTTCTTCTAGCCAGCTGGTGATCGCTGATAGACATTCTAGTAATTCAGACAGTTTATAGAACTCAGAGCAAGTCAACCCCTACCAGAGTCTAACTCCACTCCCACTTCATGTTTGAAAAATGCAACAAATGCTGTTGCCTGGCAGACCGAGAAGGCAGAGCTGCTAACAAATACACACACACACAGGCTCACAACAGCATTGTGACATCATAATGTACCAGTTTACATCATAGCATACCTCTTAGCCAATAGCGGTGGCAGATTTAAATTAAAATACAGTGCAGAGTTTTTACCTGACAACGGCACAACACTGCCAGTTTTAGGCAGAATATTTAAATTTTAACTAAGATGCACTAAAGTGCCAAATTATTGACGACACGTGTCTGCAGCACGATTAGACACTCGTTTATTTAGTTTATCAGCAAAAAAAGGTTTATTTGGTGGTGGCTTGCTCTTTAAAGGAGCAGTACAGCTGAATGTCATCTGCATATAGGTGATAAGCGATTAAAGGTGTGATTTATTTGTTTATTAAATACATTTGCAGTGTTCTTGTGTAAATCAATGGCTATGAGTCATTTAAAAAAGCTTTGATGCTTCTGTTCTGAGTGAGAAATATGCTGGTGCTGAGGTGGGCTTAAAACAGCAGGATTACTTATTAGGCAGCAGTAACTCAACAGGTTGAGCGGGTTGTCCAGTAATCGGAAGGTTGCAGGTTCGATCCCGGCTCCGGACAGAGAATTCTGCTGTTGTGTGCTTGGGCGAGACACTTAACCCACCTTGTGCTAGTGACCGGGCTGGTGGTGGTCGGAGGGACCGGTGGCGCCTGTGCTTGGCAGCCTCACCTCTGTCAGAGCGCCCCAGGGCAGCTGTGGCTACATCGTAGCTCATCACCACCAGTGTGTGAATGAGTGTGTGAGTGGATGAATGATACACTGTAGTGTAAAGCGCTTTGGAATCCTTACTCTGAGAGACGCTATACAAGTGCGGGTCATTTATCAATATCATTATTATTAATGATATGCACACACTTTGCTTCTGATTGGCTGAAGCCTAGTTTATGCTTCCGCATCAGTGCAGAGACACGCAACACCAATTTCACACTGCTTCTTTTAAATTTGTCAACAGCACCGCCATTGCGCCCTCAAAAACATAAAAAGAGCCAAAGATATCTAGCGGCAAACACGGAGCAGCTTGAAGAATACCTTGTGGAAAATATATATGAACATTTTATTCACCTGTGACTGGAGGAGTATAGAGCTCCGGACCACACGTGACTCTCAGTTAGTAGACGCCATATTGGCAGGTAAAAGAAGCTAAACAAACACGGATCGTGAACGGGATCGGCTTGGATTTTACTTCGTTGGAGTTTACTTCACACTTTAAAACCGAAGAAATCGTTTTATATTGTCAGAAATTAAATAGATTAAACATCTCCGACCCTTACCGTGCCCCTGGGATACTTTTTAAAAACGCCAGAAGCTGTCGGAGCGGACTTCTTACCGGACCTGGCCGGGGAACCCCTTGGGATTCCCCCGGAGGAGCTGGCCCAAGTGGCTGGGGAGAGGGAAGTCTGGGCCTCTCGACGCTACTGCCCCCACAACCCGACTCCGGATAAGCGGATGAAAATGGATGGATGGATGGACAAATAACAGATTTACACGTAAGAAGTTTAAATAGAGTGCTGTGCTGTTTGAATGTATAAACTGAACACCAAGAGAAATCACTAGTTTGATTTTTTTCCGTGAATAAAATAGATATGTCAGGCAGGAGCGTCTCAGGATCTGTCTGAGATCGGTCTCGGTGAGACAGATAATAGCAATCCAAAGTGCTTTTTGTGTGTGATCTGACAATTGATCAACCATTACTTAAAAATTAAATACTGCTTAGCCGGTTAATTGCTGTGATCATAAAACACGTTAACGCAGCACGCAGAAATCACGAGGCAACGTTTTACGTGACGTTTACTTGTTGCTATGAGTAATAAGACGGAAAAAGCCACGCCAAAATAAGTTTAGGAAGCCCACTAAGAATCGTAATAAAAGCATTTAAAATAAATACCATACACAATTGAGGAAACGTTGGTTTAAGTTCCTGATATGAAGTGATCACTGCATAAGCGAAAACCTTTACTCTCGGGATCCCACAGCTTCATTTTAGCCCGGTCACTAGTGCGTTTTATTACAATGATCCAACGTTTGCGGCGCTCCAGATCTTGGGGAATCCTGTAGATGGCTCATTCCTTATGTCGTCCATGTCTGTTCTGCATCCTGGGGCACAACAGGAATCTACCATATTTCCTGTCTGATTGAGCTTTCTGACAATAACAAATAGTCCAGCTGCCAGCTTCTGCATGCCAATATGGCGCCGTTTCGATTTGAACTGTTGCATGCCGGGAGAAGTGACATCAACTCCCGGAGCTCTATAAAGATACACAGCAAGTATTTTATTTGTGGATGAAAATGACGGGAAACGTGGGTTTAGAGCTGCCAATCGGATGAAGAAGTGGAGGAGAATGGGGAACAAATTTGTCTGTATTAAAAAGTATCTGAAATACAAAAAATACTAAACACAATAGTCAATGCACTGTCTTGGACTGGATACATGACAGGATGCAGCAATAAAGTGCTACGCCCTCTGTTGTCCTGGCGGGGAATAGCTTTGCACTCCCCAGAAGATGGAGAAATCCAAGAGCAAAATGTCTCCATCAATTCATCTGTGCCTGCCCCTTGTGGAGCTGACACAGACGCATAAACTAGGCTTAACAGAATATGTTCAGCCATGTTGCAAAGTCACTATCGTCAATACAATCTCCCTCTCTCTCCTTCCTGCAAATATTTTTTTAAAAGCCCTCCTGTGAGTGGGTGCAAGCCAAGATGGGCGAGGTCATGAATGCAAATTCACTGTGACGTAGATATGCAAGGATTTTCAAATCTTAGCATTTTACCATCTATTTTGTATCAGAGGCTAACGTAAGACTGTTTATTTTCAGCCTACATGAAAAATTCTGAGTGACCAATTATAATCATAAATAATCATTAAAATGTTTTTTTCTGTCAACCACACCTTCAAGACAACTCACTAGATTAATAAAAATGTCCTTCCTGACCCACTGAGAGCGCAGCAGAATCTGCTGGTGCTTGTGCTTCTTCTGTCACTCATGTAAGACAAATTATTAATAAAATAATCCAAAGCTGAAACAAAAATGAGTAGAAGCACTGCTGCAAAAGTGTTGATGAGGTTTGTTTTTCACATCTTAGTGACATGAGAGGCTAAACTCAACAGGCTGTTTCTCCTCTGAGGCTTTAAGGAAGGTAGTCACAGAGCTGAGTTGGTGAGTAGGTGTGTATCCATAACATCACTCCCCGCCTGGAACCCTGAAAGGGAACTTCACAGAACGTAATTGCCAAAGGGGCTCATTTTTGTGGTTTTTGCTCCAGTTTAGACCAAATGCACTTTTACAACAAAGATCTGTATTTATTTGTAAGGCTGCTGGAAAAGTCATTTTCAAAACCAGCTCACTTCCATTTTTGAATATTGCATTTTTACATTTTATTTAGTAATTTGACATTGTTGTCTGTGGTGTCTTAAAAAAGATGTATTGATCTGTTGTTTTTTTCCTAATTAAATGTGGTAGATCTGACTTAAATGTCCTTTTTTCGCTCTGGGATTAATAAAGTATTTTTGAATTGAATTAATCCTCTTCTTTTCTCAGCTCTGTTTGACTCTCAGACCAACCAGGAGGTGAAGGACAAAGGGATCAATGCTGTGAGTATAAAACTCCTTCGCAAATGTTCACATGGATTAAACAGGTTTTATTCCTAATCTCCTGTTGCTCCTCCACAGTGGCTACTTCAGTTTCTGACACTGTGAAGAAGCTGCTCGCTGCAGGAGAGCAGAAAATCTCAGAGTCAGAAAACAGGGAGACTTTTGCTTCCTCGCTGTTATCGTTTCTCTTTTTGATTTATTTCACTACTATTTGATGTCTTGTGTAATACTGTCACACATTAAAATATATCATCAGACAAACAACAACACAACATTCTTAATGCTGAGTATCCTTTTCCAGTCTTGCTGACTCTTTCCTAAATAAAAATTTTGTGACAACCTAAATATGCTTTTAGTAATATTTACATATTTGAAGTCGTTTGGAAATTGTAACTTTGCATAAAAATCTAACATGTCAAAACAGAATCAGGTTTTTGCCTAAATCATCAATTGGGTTGTTAATTAATTAGATTCTCAGACTTTCCATTTCAAAAATGCAACTAAACTTGGTGGATTTGATTTGTGTGCTTTAGACAATTCAGCTACTTGATGTTTTAGACAGTGGCGTGTCCAGATTTTTTTAAATGGGGTGGCCCAGGTGAGGCACAACTTTGTGCATGGGTGGCACCAATGGTTATGCTTTTTTTTTTTTTTTTTTTTGCTTCACCCCCCAAGCTTTTTGTGGACAATGAAAAGCCTATTTAAAGGTAAATTACTGTGGTGGCACCTGGGGTGGCCAATCAGATTCTAAGGGTGGCATGTGCTACCCCAGGCCACTCCCTGGACACGCCCCTGGTTTTAGAGGTGATGGTGGTGATGGTGCACACTGGAGTGAAGAAACAGACCACTGGATTGAGACAAGATTACATTAAGGATCTGATAAGGACACGTGGAAATCTCAGCAGATCTAATATGAAGCAACTCAAACATGATTCCCTGAAATGACTGACTCACAGGATATTTTTTTATGTGTGAACTTATACCCCAAATAAATGATTGGTCACTTTAATACCCAGAGTTCTCTGTAGCAATAGACAATAAGTAATATTAGGCTGATTTGCTGACACAGTGTGTCTTGTAAAAAGAGCTTTTGTGTGTGGTGAGATTGTGAGGTTAAAAGATGATATTTGTAAAAATTTCATGCATAAAGTCCAGATGACACTGGAGTGTAATTAGGGGCTGGCTTGTCGTGGACACAGGAAAGGAGGTCCTCTTGAAGAAAGGTTGGGAACAACTGAGTTAAACTATTCTCACCAAATGCATTCTATACAATGTTTTAATCTAAAAACATTTCTGTTATCTTTTGGAAAAAGATTAAGCACTTAGAAAATTTTTAGGGGGTGAATTAATAAAATTTGAACAAAAGAATCATATAATTACAATTGTCGAGCAGAAAAAAATAGGAAAAAAAATCAGTTCACTCATCCATGCCCACTTAAACTCTGGGAAATATCTGGGCACACACATGCACTCGCTGACACACAGAGTGAGCACTGCCTGCCCGACTGAGGGTGTGAGGGTGATGTCTCAGCTATACGCACCATCTCTATTCTTATCGCGCTGACGCCACATACAGCGTCAACACGCACTCACCCCCTCCTCCACTACATTCCCTCACTCCCTCCATCCATCCTGCACTCTTTCTTCCCCTCCTGTTCTCTCTAGTAACTGTCTGTCTCACAATCTGCATCCTCCTCCTCCTCTTCCACAGGCTGGCTGCTTTTGCTCTGTCACACACACACACACACACACACACACACACACACACACACACACACACACACACATACATACATACACACACACACAGCAAATGTCTTTTCTACACATACTGTTATAAATAGCACCTTTACTCGCATACCACTTCCTGTTCACTTAGGTGAGTACTCACAGGTTGCCCTCGGCAACCGTCCATTCACATTGTGACAGAAAGAGAAGGAAACAAACGAAATTGAGCACGGAGACAAAATGACAGGAAGGACCCAGAATGACTGACTCTTACGACTCCTCTCCACCTCAGCTGGCTTTTTTATTCCTATTTTTTCTTCATTTACCTGTTTTTATTATTTCATTTGATTCTTCCCAAAACCTTGAGCATCCTCCTATTTTCTGTGGGCCTGCGATCTGAATAAAGCCTGTAAAATGAGTCATAGGTTGGCCTCACAGATGTGTTCACTCGTCAACAATCTCGTTCTCTGTTTCTGAGAAGTCAAGCGATCTGCCTGTTGACATTTAATTAGAAACAGTAAGCACAGCTGATGTCTCTTGTTTAATTGTGTTCAATCTTAAACCAAAGTATTAAAATAATCCTTTGGCTGCATGTTGGTTAAAGTTAACATTTAAGGAGTTGGATTTCTGAAGAAGGATTAAATTTGATGGATGTTGTCTCAAGAACTGTGAAATATGTATTCATTAATTGATTAATTTAATATAACAGATGTTATCACGTTTAACTTTGTACTTCAAGTTCTAATTTCGAAAGGAGGTAAAAACAAAAAACGATTAACTGTCTGAAGAGTTGGTCCATGAACTCCAAAGGTTACATGAACTTCTATTTGTCAAAGGTCAATAAAGATCAATTTTACCTATAAAGACATGTAAACATTATGCATTAGCATAATTCAGGAAATAAACTATATTCAAGAAAGGAAAATCAACTTCTTGCATTTTAATGACACATTAAAAGGGACACACTATGACTTTTTTCATTTAGTTCTGTGGTCAATACGAAACACGTTTATGAAGTTCTTTGCATAAAATTCCTCTCACATGACACACATTTCATCAGTATCAGTCTTGACACTTTAAGTATCTTCCAAAATAAGTCGTTTCAGGGCTCTGTCACTTTAAAAAAATAAACTGGAGTTGATTGCACCCACCCACCCCCCTACCAGGCTGCTATAAGCAGAAGCTCCAATAGAGCTCCGGGAGTTGACGTCACTTCTCCCGGCATGCAACAGTTCAAATCGAAACGGCGCCATATTGGCATGCAGAAGCCGGCAGCTGGACTATTTGTTATTGTCAGAAAACTCAATCAAACGGGAAATATGGTAGATTCCTGTTGTGCCCCAGGACGCAGAACAGACGCGGACGACATAAGGAATGAGCCATCTACAGGATTCCCCAAGATCCGGAGCGCCGCAAACGTTGGATCATTGTAATAAAACGCGCTAGTGACCGGGCTAAAATGAAGCTGTGGGATCCCGAGAGTAAAGGTTTTCACTTATGCAGCGACCGCTTCATATCAGGTACTTAAACCAAAGTTTCCTCAACTGTGTGTGGTATTTATTTTAAATGCTTTTATTATGATTCTTAGTGGGCTTCCTAAACTTATTTTGGCGTGGCTTTTTCTGTCTTAATCCTCATAGCAGCAAGTAAACATCACGTAAAACGTTGCCTTGTGAGTTCTGCGTGCTGCGTTAACGTGTTTTATGATCACAGCAATTAACCGGCTAAGCTGTATTTAATTTTTAAGCAATGGTTGATCAATTGTCAGATCACACATAAAAAGCACTTTGGACTGCTATTATCTGTGTCACAGTGACTACTTACGTGTAAATCTGTTATTTGTCCGTCCATCCATCCATTTTCATCCGCGTATCCGGAGTCGGGTTGCGGGGGCAGTAGCGTGACTTCCCTCTCCCCAGCCGCCGGAGCCAGCTCCTCCGGGTAAATCCCAAGGGGTTCCCCGGTCAGATCCGGTGGTGTGCCGGTAAGAAGCCCGCTCCGACAGTTTCTGGCGTCGGAGCGGGCAGTAGAGTCGAGCGTCCCAGACACCGCGGTTCCCAGACCTTCTCCCCAGCTCCTCCGGCCGGGGGAATCCAAGGGGTTCCCCGGTCAGGTCCGGTGCTGTGCCGGTAAGAAGCCCGCTCCGACAGTTTCTGGCGTCGGAGCGGGCAGTAGAGTCGAGAGTCCCAGACCTTCTCCCCAGCTCCTCCAGCCGGGGGAATCCCAAGGGGTTCCCCCGGCCAGGTCCGGTGTTGTGCCGGTAAGAAGTCTGCTCCGACAGCTTCTGGCGTTTTTAAAAAGTATCCCAGGGGCACGGTAAGGGTCGGAGATGTTTAGTCTATTTAATTTCTGACTATATAAAATGATTTCTTCTGTTTTAAAGTGTGAAGTAAACTCAGACGAAGTAAAATCCAAGCGGATCCCGTTCATGTTCATGGTTACATCCGTGTTTGTTTACCTTTTTTGCATGCCAAAATGGCGTCCACTAACTGAGAGTCACGTGGGGTCCGGAGCTCTATATCCTAGCCTGGCAAGCCAGACTAAATAATACATACACGCTCCATTGACGGCTCTCGGTTGTGGGGCGGGTTCTACCGTTGTCTTTCAAATGATCTCCGCATTCCACTGGACAATGAATGTGACATTCTCTTGTTTCACTCTGTTGCATCATCCCACCCACCAGGCAGAGTGCCCGGATTGGCCCACATAGCAGATAAAGCCCTGTGATTTGTTCACTAAGCAGATAGAGCACTATGATTGGCCCACCATTATGGACCAATCACAGCTCTTTATGTGTTTGAAACCCCTCTAGAGAGCTATGATTGGCCAGCCAGAATGCTGTTGGGGATGCAGAGGTTCCAGTGGAGCATGCCTAGACCAAACTTTGCAAAGCAAGAATTTGGTCTAGTTCTATTTCGTCTAGTCTTAGCCCTTAAGCGAGCTGCTATTGGAAGGATGATCTCCGCATCAGCCAATCATGAAGAGCTTAAATGTACGCCCACCAATAGTGGGCCCCCTCGTGGTATATAACCGCAGTGACCCCACTGCTCGCCTCCTTTTTCTCTTCATGCCAAGCTGAGAGCTTCTTAAAGAGCAAATTTATCCAGAAAGAGCAAGATTATCCGAGAAGACTTACCAGCCATGTCCAGCGACGCCAGACCCTGCCCGACCTGCCAGTCGGGCTCCATTTCCAGCGGAGACCTGCACGCTAAGTGTGAGGTCTGTCTCGGGGCTCACCACGCTGGCCTGGCCTTGACCCCGCAGGCCTCGTGCCCGTTCTGTGCCGCTCTGCCCGTGGCAGAGAAGATTCGCCGGGTCGAGTACTTCACTCCCGCCGCCGACGAAGAATTTCCGGTGGCTGACTCGTACCCGCTGGACAAGGCGTTGGATTTCTTCGACGCCGGTCAGGAGCCGGCTGGCTTCAACCGGCTGGATGACGTCACCGACAGCGAGAACTACGACGAGGCGGCATCCCTCCTAGACATAACGGAGGTCGATGAGCTCCGCCCAGCGGGTCCTTCTGCCCCAGTGGCTTCTCGCTCCTCCCTGCCAGCAGTAAGAGCACTGCTCCAGGAGCTGCCCGCCATCATTTCTGCGGCAGCAGCCCACAAGGGGC